CACTTGGCACTGCTGAGGTTGCCTGCTTGTGCCTTAAAGACACAGGCCCTAGATCCAGACTGCCCTAGACCCTGGCTGGGAGGCACATCAGACAGGGCTGAGTGTCTCTAGGCCCAGCTCTGAATGAATCCCGCTCTGGAGGGGCTGTGCCCTGCCAGAGCCTGAGCGGAATGGATGGATGGCTGTGTGCAGTCTGACTTTACTGGATTCTCCCTTCCCCCTACCAACTGCTGCGAAGTCACTGGCTTTACGGGAACCAGGGCGATTCCTGAGGTAGGAAGGGGAGGGGGTAAGGGGCGGCAGCTGCTGCCAAGGCTCAGAGATAGCTGGAGGGGCAGGAATTGGGTTTTCAGTGTTGGGGAATTACAGGTACCCAGGGATGGGTGGAGCTGATAGGGAAGAGATGAGGAAAGAAAAAGTGTCCGCCTCCAAATGCCCAAGGACTGAAAAAGGAGAGAAGGCCTCAGAACAGAGCCACAACCTGTGTCCACAAAGGGATGCATGTCTGGATCCCACACAGGCATTACACACACAAACATCCAACCCGTCCTACCCTCCCCCACCCTGGAGTCATCGTTGGGCAGGCTGCTGTCAGGCCTTTGCTTGTCAAATGGCTTCCAGAAAGCAGGCACAGGCTGCCCAGGAGCAGACGAAGGCAAGCTCAGATGGTCTGCAGGAGCCAGGGTGCTGAGGCCTGTTGAGTTAGCCATGCACCATGGGGCTGCTGCCGCCGAGGGCTCGGAGATCTCCAAAAGACCGATGCATCACAGTGGGCCCTAGGATGAGAGCTGGGCATCTGGGGAAGCAGGTTTGGGGCTCCGGGCTGGGTCTCTGGCTGAGAAAGGAGGGCAGCTTCCCAGCTGGTCAGCTCCTCAGCATTGCAGGGCAGAGGAACCACGCCCTCCTCTGCTTTGTGTGTCCTCTAAGATGGGCCAACGCCCTCCTGGCTGGAATCCCTACCGCCTTCCTCTCGTCTCCAGACCCCTCCTTCCCTCTGGGCCATTAGTCTCTTCCTGCGCAGCTGCCAGGTCCTTCTTGATGGGTCTGGTTTGGTTGCCAGGGGAATGGGAAGAGGGAGGATGGGAGAGAGAGGATGCATAAACCAGTGCTTGTCTCTCCCTAACTCCTGGGAGCAGGGAGGGGTAGGGTCCTGGCTGGGCTAGGGTGAGGGTCTTGGCAGGTGTGGGGAAGGGGCTGAGAAAGGCTTGGTGCTTTCTGCCACAGCCTTGGGCTCTGAACCCCTGCTGCCATTGGCCTGCAGCCCCACTGACCCCAGAGTGGGCCCCGCCCTACCCCTGCAGCTCTCCTCTGGAAGCTGGCTAGGAGTCTGAGTTGGCTGTGCATGGGGAGTGGAAAGCAAAGCTTGGACTCTTGAGGGGTCCTGGATGACCACTCAGGCCTAGTCTTTTCAGCCTTTGAGCTCCATGTGGCTGGGCTCAGGGGAGTTCACAGTTCTTCCCTCAATCAAGCCCCTAGCTCACCACCCCTACCCCTAGCCTGAGAGGGGAGGGGACCAGAGGGCTTCTTCAGCAGCGCTCTGGGGACTATGGAGTAAGTAACCAGGCCTGGATGTGGAACCAGACCTGCTGGAGAGGCAGGGGAGGCCTCTCCTCTTTATGAAGAAGGATTCAGGTCTTGGGGCTGGAAGTAAGGTAGATAAAAGCTCACTGTTAAGGGCCAGGTTTCAGCTGCCAAGCTTCCCATCTGATCCACCACTCTCTATGATATGGATTTAGGCTTGTTACTCAACCTCCATGTCCCTCAGTAAAATGGGGATAATTGTAGTTTCCACCTCACAGGGTTGTCAGGAGGAGCTCTGGTGGTGTAGTGGGTAAGACATTTAGCTGCTAACCAAAAGGTCAGTGGTTCAAACCCATCAGCTGCTCCTTGGAAGAAAGATGAGGCAGGCTGCTTCTGTACAGATTTACAGATTTGAAACCCAATGGGGGAGTCTAGGAGTTGGAATCTATTCAATGGCAGTGAGTTTGTTTTGTTTCGTTTGGAGGGTTGCCGGGAGGATTAAATGAGTAAATACATGTAACATGCTTCTCACTCGTTGCTGTCCAGTCAGTTGGTTTTCGAGGAGGTATCGCTGAAGAAATAGATTGCCCAATCTTCCTTCTGAGGAGTGGCTGGTGGGTTTGAACCGCCAGCCTTCTGGTTAGCAGTCAAATGCCTTAGGCACTACACGACCAGAGCTCCTGTAACATGCTCAGGACTACATAATCAGGGCTGAAAATATAAGGTGGTAATTTTATTATTATTGATATTATTTAATCTCCTGAATGATTGTGGAGAAGATCTGAACTTTTGGGTTGTCTCCACTAGAGGGTGGGAGCAGTGCTAAGCCCAAGGAGAAAGGAGCCCAGTCCATCCTGACTAATGGATGGAGGGGAGGTGGCCTTGTTCTTCTTCAGCCTGCTGGGCAAACAGTATGCTGATTAAGAGATGGACTCTGGACAGACTGCCTGGGTTCCATCATGGCTCCTCAACTTAATTAGCTGGGTGCTTTGGGTTTGGGGGCTGATTAAACCACTACTTATCCCATTTTCTTTATCTATAAATGGAGATGATAATAATAGTACCTACCAAACCCACTGCCACTGAGTTGATGGCAGCCCTTTAGGACAGAGTCGAACTGCCCCCCATAGGGTTTCTGACGCTATCAATCTTTATGGAAGCAGACTGCCTCATCTTTCACCCACAGAGCGACTGGTAGGTTCGAACTGCCAACCTTTCGGTTAGCAGCCAAATTCTTTAACCACTATGCCACCAGAGCTCCTTGTGAATAATGTTAGGAGGGAAGCACTTAGTGCCCGGCAACAATGCATGCTATGTTAAGTATTAGCCCGTATTATGATCACCCCTCTTCCTCCTGCCTCCCTTGGCTGTTCTGGTAAAAGCTTGTAGAGAAGTAACAATTGGATGCATTCAGATGTTTCCAAGGAAAGTGAACTGTCAATGCAGTTTTGGTTACTGGCAACAGTGCTACCAAATGATGTACCATGGACTCAAAACCGGATGAGGAGGGGTGTGTAGGCAAGAGATGGTGGGAGATTGGGAGAGTAAAGCGGTCCATAGCTGCACTCGCAGACAAGACCTAAGGACAGGCAAAGTGCATAGGCAGGAAGGAGCCAGCTGGACTGATAGGAAGTTGTTTTCAGGGAGGAATGCATGAATCAGTGATTTTGGAGCTACGGTATTTTGGAGGAGAAGGTTCCATGGGTTGTTACTGAGGGAGTGGACAGCTGAGGCTGAAGTGGAGTGGAGGAGATCCCGGAGAAGAGATCAGGCCCGTCCGAGCTGTGAGACCCTGGGGGGGGCGGGTTTCTTCTCCTCTCTCAGCATCAGTTTCTTCATTTGCAAAATGAAATGATGACAGCTTCCTCTCGGAGAAGGTGTGCCACCTAACTTAGGTGTAAAACAACCAGTATGTTGGGAGGGTCACAGTGGGTGCTCAGTGTTGACTGCCTTCTTCCCAGCCCATGTGACTGAGGGGAATCTGAGACACAGAGGAGAAATGACATGTCACAAAGTGTCAGCTGGGATCTCCCTGCTCCTCGAGGTCTAGGATTGGCTCAAACCTCCATTCTACATCCTGGGGAAAGTCCACGGTCCTCGCCAAGATTTCTCTGCATTTCCAGGTGCCTCATTTTTATGTTCCTGGCTCTTGAGTCCTGCTGTTCCTGACTAAGCTGACTTTACATCAACTCTTTACAGTGTCTCAGATGTGGGACTCAGCACTAGCCCGCAAGTCCCCTCGTCCTCTTTCCCCATCACTTAGGCAGCACCTGAAGTTCAAAGGGATAAAGTGCTTGTCTGAAGCGGTACAGTGAGCTGACAGCAGCTCTCTCTCTGGGAAGGTGCATCCTGCTTGGGCCAACCCTGAGTGGCCCTGGGAGCAAGAGCCTCTGCTAGAAATGGCCCAGCTCTGCTCTTTTCCTAGTGGGCTCACCCAGCCTGGCCCAACGACTGCAGGGTCCTCACTGACAGAGTGGCCACTAGAGTGGAATCATTTCCTTATTAACTCCATTTTAGGTCTCTACCCCTCCCAGCTGACCTAGTGGGAGATGGATTGACACAATGGCTGTAACAATGGGCTGAAGCCTAGCAAGGATTGTGAGGATGGACAGGACCAGGCAATGTTTCATCCCCTCCCAGTTAGGGAACACCCTGGGTATCTTTTCCATCTCATTACTCTTCTCACTGTGTGGTATGAAAACAAAAGCCAAATCCACTGCCACAGAGTCGGTTCCAACTCAGAGACCCCGCCAACCGGGGTTTCCAAGGGTAAATCTTTATGGAAGTAGATTGCCCTGTCTGCTTTCCGTGGAGTGGCTGGTGGGTTTGAACCACCAACCTTCTGGTTAGCAAGCAAATGGCTTAGGCACTATACCACCAGAGTGCCTTACTGTATCATATAGTAATAGCTAATGC